CGGCGCTGAGAGACCGCCCGGCCCCGGGGGCTGTCCGCTTTTTGCCCCGCGGACCCCCCCGCGGATTGTTTATTTTAGCGTCGGTCCACATTTTGCTCTCTCTTTGTCTTTGCCCACTTCAGTGTCGACTTTCAATGAAAGGAGTGATTCTCTGTTGTGGGACAAAACGCCAGACAGGTGACTCTTGAGGTGTAACCCAATACCTTGTCTTTTAGTGTTGTTTCCCGTCAAACTATTAGTATTCCTGCACCTTTCACGGGAAACAAAGGCATGAGGCCGTCAGCCGTATCTGTTACCGCCCACAAAAATCAAGAAGAGACTGAGTCAGCCTTACAAATAAGATCCAAGGACAGAGGAGACGAGATGTTTGATAGAAGATAAATGGAATGCGTCCCCGCAGCTATAGAGGAGAACATTAAAAGAGAACATATTTTATTTACTTTTGGATGTGTAAGCCGGCGTGCAGATATCCTCCAACTTAACTTTACATCGCAAAAGCCCCCCCGAGGGTGAGACCAGGGTGGAGGCGGGCCAATGCGACGATACACACAAATAGTTGATGTGTGTAGCTGTCGACGTGTGACAAGCAGAAAAGGGACAGTGTTGAGAGCATAGCCTTTTACGACCCAACACACTTTGACAGCTTGGCCATGGCTGGGGGACACAAGCCGTGCTGCTGTTTCATCTGACAATTTGAAGAAAAAAAAAAAACCAACAACAACAACGTTCCTTTCACGGATTGGCTTGTTTACGTGTGTGTGTGTGTGTGTGTGTGTGTGTGTGTGTGTGTGTGTGTGTGTGTGTGTGTGTGTGTGTGTGTGTGTTAAAGTAAAGAGACAAAAACATGTCTGCAAGATAAAGGTGTCACACTGTCAGTCTGCAAGATGAGAAAGCCAGATGAAAGTGTGTGTGTGGGGGAAAGGCGATGATGCCGCTTTAGAGGCAACACTGCCCTCTGGTGGTGAAGGTCCGTCGCAAAAAATAAAAAATAAAAACCTCCCAGAAAATTAGTAGAACTCCAGATACTTGTGTACATTGAAACAATAAAAGACTGTTGAAGGTAGAGAGAGTGATTGAACTCCTGTGATAAGTGAAAAAAATACACTGAAATAATTGAATTTTACCATTAGTTTATACACAATACCGATTTTGATCGAAACAATAGTGCCCTTTATGAGATTTTTTTTTTTTAATTCACTTTACATGTCGAATCCAAATGACACGTTTCGATAGCTCTGCCAATGTTATGAACTGAGTAACAAGAAATGCAAAATTAGTTCACGATAGTAACTGACAAATACATCCAAGAAAAATTTTGGACATCAGAAGTTGGTGGTTTTTAGGCCGGCACAGGACAAAAACTTTCGCCATGAATACTTTATGTGTCTGAAAACGTCAAGCGATGTCCTTGAGTAAGGTCATGGATGAGGAATATCTTGCTTTCCCCCATCTCTTGCCGCTCAGATCTCAGTCAATTTTGATTTCGACTGGGGTTGACTTTACCTTGGCTCTGATTTTTGCATTGTGTTGTGAAAGGGGCAAAAGCATCATTTGACAAAGTAATGTTTTAGATACCCGTTTTCATTTGAAAGTCATTCCAAAAATAAAAGTACAGACATGAAAAGTGTTACAGTCCTGGAACCAACTAATTCTAACTTCCCGCCTCTGCTACGCTGGCTCCCTAGACACACCGCGTCGGTTCCCTTCAAGCAAGCATTTGCCTTATTTGGACCCGAGGACAGTTTGTGCACACAAAATTTATACAATTTGCACATCTCTGAAACGGGGACCGCAGGGTGCGGCACATTAAAAATGACACCTGAGCAACTCTAATGTCATTTTCAGTTGACAGAAAGTGCCACAAAGCCCGCCCCCTAAGATGGCGAAAAGCGGGTAGATTTTTCTACTTAACTCATATTCCCCAAACACAATATTAATTAGAATGCCGTATTTAGATGAAGGCGGCCCAGTATCCAGTGGTTAGCGCGTCAACCTCACAGTGCAGAGGTCATGGGTTCGATCCCAGCTCCGGTCTCCCTGTGTGGAGTTTGCATGTTCTCCCCGGGTCAATGTGGGTTTTCTCCGGGTACTCCAGTTTCCTCCCACATTCCAAAAACATGCATGGCAGGCTGATTGAACACTCAAAATTGTCCCTAGGTGTGAGTGTGAGCGCGGATGGTTGTTCGGCTCTGTGTGCCCTGTGATTGGCTGGCAACCGGTTCAGGGTGTCCACCGCCTGCTACCCAAAGCCAGCTAGGATAGGCTCCAGCACCCCACGTGACCCATGTGAGGATAAAGCGAATTGGAAAATGGATGGATGTTTTGACAAGTGGAAGCGCAAAGAACATATTATTGTGAAGACAATTTTTGGGTTCCCCTCAAAGGCTGGTTTCCATCCAATTGTATTAATTGACCGCCAAATTGTTTCACTTTTACAGTGTTGGACGTTGAAGATTCCACTGTATATGTATGGCAGATGGAGCAGGGGGGAATAAAAACACATGAATACAGCATTTTCTATTGTATGTGTAACTAGCCTGTCAGCTGTGTGTGTGTGTGTGTGTGTGTGTGTGTGTGTGTGTGTGTGTGTGTGTGTGTGTGTGTGTGTGTGTGTGTGTGTGTGCGCACGCGCGCCAATGTGTGTGTGCGTGTGTGTGTTTGCATACAAACAATGCACTCGGTTGACAGCCCGCAGCAGTGTGCATTCTTGCTTGGAGAGTACATGTCCTCGGGCTGCGTTCCTCCGCTGATGACCTCTGGTGAAGCCATTATCTTCTGCATTAATGATGAGCCCAAGCCGGTCGGCGATGAGAGAGATGGACTTTTGTCCTCAGGCGCAGCAGCAGCAGCAACAGCAACAGCAGCAGCAGCTGATTATAGCCAACAACAAGGCTGGAAAAATAAAGAAAGAAAGGGGAATAGTCGTAGGGAAGAAAGACGAGACTCCATCGCCACAAGCACAAGCTAAGCTTACGCCATTCAGAGGGCCAGATGAGACTTTTATCAGTAATGTCCGGCCAAGCTTTGCCACCAACTCAATTAATTTCCTGCTTTCCTGCAAACTGGCTGGAACTTCTCAATAAATCATTAGGAAGTGAAATGACACGTGCATGTTACCGAGATCCATCCATTACTCAGTGGGAAATTAGGCCAAATGTTACTACACTATGCATCCATTTTCAACATCGCTTATCCTGTAGAAGGGTGGCCCGGTAGCCCAGTGGTTAGTGCGTTGACCTCACAGTGCAGAGGTCGCGGGCTCGATCCTGGCTCCGGCCTTCCTGTGTGGAGTTCGCATGCTCTCCTCGGGCCTGTGTGGGTTTTCTCCGGGTACTCCGGTTTCCTCCCACATTCCAAAAACATGCATGACAGGCTGATTGAACACTCTAAATTGGCCCTAGGTGTGAGCGTGGATGTGTTTTTTCTTCCTCTCCATGATTTTGGGGTGTCCCACAGCCCTTTAGCCTGCTGGAGTAGGTCCGCCCCTATCTTGCATGAGCAGACGTCCACATTCAGAAGCAACGTAAGAGTCATCGTTAATAAGACCATCATGAAAAGAAATGTTACTAATTTAGTTGTAAATAGATTCTTTGCCTATCTAGAAAATCTCGATACAGTACTGCAAGTCATATTACATCATGTCAAGTCCTTTTTTTTTTTCTTGCAGATGGCCTCTAGAAAGTGGACCCAGGGTTGGAGTTGGGATATCACTGATCAATACTAACAGCTTCATTTTCTGACGTTTTCCCTCTTCTGGGGAGTCTGGTATTCATTTAAATGTAGAAATATATTCCTTTTGATTGACAGCCAGATGCTCTTCCTGAAGAGATGAACAAACATGATTGTGCTTATTTATCGTGGAGTCAGCTGAGATCCAAGGGCGCATTTCCGATAGTTTGCTGGCATTGAAGATCCGCTCAGGAAAATACAGAGAAAGCTCCACAAGCCCACAATGTCCAAGCTCAATAATTCACTTTTTTTTTTCTTGATCCTACCTAAAACAGTTACCGAAATTTATGTGTAACTCTGCTAACAGCGATAAAAACAGAACGCTGAGAATGAGTTCCTTTGCCGTCGTATAAACAGGTCCCATATCGGAGACACTCCAAAGAAGACAAATGGCAAACAAAGTGCAGTTGCTCTTGTCAAGGCAGCCAGTGCATCCACTCCGGAAATCCTGGCTCGGGGAGATGACTCTAAATGAAGGACTTTAACCATTCACCATTATGTCTTTGCTGGAGAGTCGGAGGGAAGCCCCCCGGGGCCCCTCGGCACGGCATAGTGCAACTTTTTTCAAAGGGGCTCCCAGATTAAAGTCCCTGAAAGTTCCCATTGGGGTCTGAGGCCAGGATCCCATTAAGCAGCCCTTCCACACCGCCGGCCATAATTGTGTCATTGAGAATTCACAGCAGCGCTTGCTTGATAAGCGAATTTAAGGTGAAAAAGGGATGGCGGTGGAATGGTGAAGGGGGTCTAGTTAGGCCACCATTAGATGCTGCGTTCACACCTCACTAATTTAAAATGACAGAGGGTTGGCAGAGGACAAGAGATGCATGTTCCACACCTTCGACAAATGAAAAATGACTCACTTTTATAGCCACTCGCACAAGAGTGCTGTGAGTGGTGTTTATGCCGCAGTTAGATTGATGGAATAAAGGTAGGGGGGGTGGAAACCAAATTGAAATGATACTATTTGATGTCACGGAATATAATGTTGGTGAATAAAGCAGGTATTTAAAGTGTGATTTCAATGAACTGGTGCATTTTTTAACAATGTTTTTGGAAAAGATTGCGACATATCACATGTTGATTTCAAAGGCCCGAAGCAAATATCGGTAGATTATGTATGAGTATTATAACTGCAAATGTTGTGTCGCTAAGAATAAAAAACAATTTGTTTGTCCCCCCTAGGCCTATGTTTTTGTACGAGCCCACTACAAAGCTCAAAATATTGTGATGTTTTTTTCTCTTTCGCGCCAGGATATGAAGGTCAGCAAGACTTTATAAACAAGCCATATTTTATTGAGAATTGTTCCCAATTACAATTCTGAATGGTCTCTTGTGGACCTGTGATGTTTGTCATCATCAAAGCACTTTGATGAATGATAGAAAAGTGTCCTTAACGTGAAGCCTAACTTGAGTGCTGCGTGTATGTATGAGTATTTATACACTTAAAACAGTTGGAGGTATCGTACATCTGCTGCAGTATCTCAAGTTAGGACTCATCTCTTTACAGTGAAATAAATGAGTTATCAGCCCCCTTTACCTTCCCCGAAAGGCTACTTCCATATCCAAGTGCAATTAAAAAATAATTTTTTTTAATCATATTTCAAGTGGACTTTTTCTGCTTCTTCTTTTCGGCCTCTTCCTCTTTTTCCTTCTCGATCTCAGCCACCAGAGACTCTATCTCCTTGGACTCGAGGATCTGAGAACAGCCAACAGACACTCATGATGAGCTTACGGGGAACTCAAATCGAACGCACAAGTGAAGCGACGTGAATGGAGGTCACCTTCAGTGGTTGATTTCGTCTGATAACAGCCAGTTCGATATTTTTCCCTCCCGATTGGACCACCTGTTGAACGAATACAAAATGAGAGTGCAGACAATGAATGGATGGATGGAAGCAATGAGGTCAAAGGTGGTGGTGGTTCGAGCAAATTGGAGCAGTAGAGCAACGCGGGTCTTTTTGGAATGCGTGAGTGTATTTTTTATTTATTTTTTAATAAAACAACTGAAAGACATTCTTCTTTTTCCTGGGAAATTCTTATTTATTAAGATGTACCTATAGACTGCTGCTATTACCTAACACCAGAATTGAAGTGGGCCCAAGGTAGGTATCTTGCTCACATCCCCTTTTACAGCTGATTGATGGTGGACACTTAATTAACAATGCATCACTTTCTTGTTAGTGTTTCATGAGGGCGTTCCACCACGCCACATTCGTCAAAGTATGTGTTGAATGACCTTGAAGAAAAAAAAGGGCTTTCTGCAAACTGTCCCCACGAAGTTTAAACCACGGAATCGTCCGTGTCTTGCTAAGGTGGAGTACACACATCACAATAATCTCTGCAAACCCCTCCCGATCAAATTCTATGAACACGAAATTAAGATGCCTCTGAAAGACTATCCTGGGCAATTTTCCTGTCGTGTCAGGTAGGTTAAGAGAGATTTTTTTTCAATGGTCAGAGGGCAACAATTTGAACGTTAAAGGTCAAGTGTGAAGAGATTTTAGAAAATCCTAAATGAAATATTTTCAAGCTACAAGTAATTAAACACAATACATTCAATAAAGCATTTCGTAAATTTGACAAAGTAACCATTTTCCCGAAATGAGATCCTGATGAGCGACAAACCTGGAAGTGTGATGTCACCTCAAGGACAAGAATAGTGGGGCTCACTCTGGAAAGTGTACAAAGCCAGTCAGAAATTCTGAAAGCGCTGTTTCAAACCTATCTGAAGGGCTGCGGGTTTTTGAAGATTTGGAGGAAGAGAAGGTTCTTGGTAAGATTTATATGATAGACCAAGCATGTACGAGCCAGATGCTCAGGATGCGGAATATGTGGTGTGCCCGAACGGCGGGACATGGAGTGGAGACGACACCCATCGGGATTGGAAGAATGGTAGCCCGTACAGGCTGAGATTATTAGCCTAGCGTGATTGTTTGCGATTCGATGCTGTGCCGTGCTGTAAATTGCGCACGGTGGGATGAGCTACTTGGTCCGTGTATTCCCGCTAGCACTGAGAGCACACGTCATAGTGGGTTGGTGTCCTACATCGTCACTGCTAAGGTAGTTCTGTTAAGATTGTCGGCCACTACGCACATTATATCGGCAGCATTGTGAGTTGCAAACCATGAGAGAGGAGTCCATCCATGTACCCATATAATGCGTTCATCCAGGATTACATCCATGAACACGTATATTTTGAATCGAATGTTTTCATAAACAACAGCCAGAGTTGTCCGTTGATTATCATGCCTACTTTTTGCAAATTGTTGATCATAGGCAAAACGGTTGAGAAAACAGGTCGTCGAAGTGCTTGGAGCAAAGAACGCTCATCGACACCGCCGTGAAATCCATTCATTTTTGGGAGAATGACACGGTATTTTTCGAATTTTCCAGTCCGTTTACATGCCTTACTTTTTTTGGGGGGGGGGGGCAATCAAACAACTGTTTGCCTGAATGTGAACAGCGCATCGCCACAGAGCACTGAGGCATTTGGACGAATAACTCGAAAACAATTGCAAAGAGCAGTTAACCGGGCAATCAACAATGCAGTATAATGGCTGACTGGCGTGTCGGCATTCTGTAAATGACGCCACTAGCCGGAGATTGTTGAACAAAAGCATTTTCGTTGTTCAACACGTCACTATGAGTCCAACTATGAACCTGGGTGGGGTTCATTAAAAAAAAAAAAAAAAAAAAAAAAAAAAAAAAACAAATGAAAGCATGCTTGAAATAGTTTTAGCCCCAACTATTACTCAAAAGACGTTTGGATAAAGTTTACTTCACACTTCACCTTTAAACCTGCTCAATATTTGAAGGCAAATCCTTACATGTGCGGATAATGCCAAGTTCTTGGAATACGCGGGTATGACATAAAATGTAAAAATAAGAAGCGAGCTGAAGCTAACTCCAGTATTGGGCACAAAGAGAGGAGCAACCGGTGGTGGTGAATCTTTGCATAACGGGTCTCATAAGTCATTCACCGCAATGAAAATGACAAAGATTGCATCCACAATGTAGTTACAGGGTAAGTTAACAGCATAGTTTCTACTCCTTTCACGACTTATCTGTCCACTTCTTTGTACTGTATTTACCTGCAGTCTGGATCTCCAGTGGCACCATACTACCCCCCACAGGCCAAATTTAGTACTACAACGCATATCTGGTTTTGTTGGTCCAAATGTAGTTGTGTGTGCCTGTAGTGGTCATCTCATCTAACCCAAATAACATTTTTTTTCCTCATCATGTGTTGGGTCTCTTATATGTTGAAACAATTTTTAAGGTGTTAAAAATCCCTACCTTAGAAAAATTACTCCACGATGGAAAGTCCAACCAGTTGTTGTATTTAAAGAGTGTTCTTCTTAAAGAGCACATTAAACCCACCTCGAGCAAAGCTTTGATTGCCAACTTGATCGCTTCATTGTCTCCAGCGATGGCTTCGTCTGTGTAGTTCTTCTCCAGAAACTCCCTGACAGTTTTGGCACTACGGCCAATCGCGTTTGCCTAACAGGATATAGAAGATGGCGCTCACATTTTACATTTGGACACATGCAGCATGGATAGTACCAGACCAAAGACCAAAGTATGTCACCTTCCAGGCATGGTAGGTTCCCGACGGATCAGTCTGATACAGCCTTGGAGTTCCATCGTAGTCAAAGCCGACAATCAAAGCAGAGATGCCGAATGGCCTGCGACCATTGCTTTGAGTGTAACGCTAAAATGTTTCAAACATTTCAGTATAAACATTTCGAATGACATGGATGCGACCAGTCGGCCACCAATTTATTGAATGACAACAAAAGGTGCACCTGTTTCAAGGTGGCTATGTAACGTGTTATGTATTCCACAGTGACAGGATCCTCCACAGTCAACCGGTGGCTCTGGCACTCAACACGTGCTCTGTTTATCACGATACGAGCGTCCGCTGTCAGCCCTGAAAAAGGTCAGTGAAAAGGAATTAGGAACCCAACAAGAGACTAATGACATTTTATCACTTGCATGCATGTCTTATTCAGAAATGTAATTAGTGACTCACCTGCAAATGCCATGCAAACATGCTCATCGAGGGCGCATATCTTGCGGACAGTTCTCTCCTCCTGCAACTTTGCTACAGATTTCTTCTCAACTCCGAGGACGACGATATCTTTGCCCCTGATTCCCACCTATTTCACACAAAAAAGAGCAACATAATGCAGGGGCTTGCTCCATTGGGTATTGGGTGGGGGTCGGGTCGGGGGGGGGTAATCTGAAGGACAAATAATAGCAATAAATCTCGCGAAACAGATAAAGTTGTGGTCACAAATGAAAACCACGCAACGGAATGAATCAGCAATTACGAAACCCCAAAGTAGCGAGAGAATATTGCATATTAAAAAAAAAGACTTACGTAATTGGATACCAATTACAACCAAAAGTATTTTTTGCGTCTACATGCACTTAAACATTAAAAAGCTGTGGATTTTTGGGACAATCAAATTTGACTGACCTAAACCAGGTGACAAGACGACCAGCTTGCACTTTTTTAAAATTAATACTATTCAACAAGAGTATTCTGCTCCTGTTTATCAAATTGATCTTAACTTGGAAAACTAAAAGCTCTTTGAGCATGACACAGCGACCAAATGCTAACCAATAACACTTCTTAAAGTATGGTTTCCAGCAAAACACGCGTCTAGAACGTATTCCCCAAAAACTTAAGCCACAATGACTGCATAATAATATTAGTAGCGCGGACTATAATGAACTGTGAGCTTCAGCACTAGAGAAGCACGTTAGCCACAAGCTAACTAGCTAGCGTTGGCTTTAGCTTTTTTTTAGTTTCATTTCCCAACTGACCGCCGTAGAGCCTTTCTTTACAGCTTCTTGCGCGTACTCCACTTGAAAGAGATGGCCGTCCGGGGAGAAGACGGTGATAGCTCTATCGTATCTTGCTGCCATAGCCTCGCAAGACGCGTACAATAAGAAGAAGAAAAGAGAGAGAGACTTTAGCCAAATGATTCAGCTAGTTTTTAGCCGCAAGCCACTCAATCGAACGCTGCCGCTTGTTGAGAACAGCGCATGCGCATGAACTCTGATCTCGGAAGCCACTCCTACGAAAATGGTTAATTTGTTAAGCCAGTTCATTTCGAAATGAAAAACGAAATATTATAGTTTCTATTTAAATATTAAATATATTAATGCTTCTGAAGTGTCGGTGATAACCGAAAATAAATGTTCAAATACAATATTTCTGTGTGTTCATTTCCTGTGGCCTCCGGACTGTTGCAATACACGTAACATAGGGGTTACATGAGTTTGATTGTGAAAATATATACCTTCTTTTATCAATATACTACTTATATTTAAAATAATATGGTTTAGAAAGAGTAATTAAACATGATGCGAGTCACCGTAGACATATTATGACATAAACACTTTTAAAACAGACTTTCAAATCAGTTACATCCCCCCCAAAACGGACGAGTACATTACAACATTGCGTCTTATTCTATTCCATCAACTGAGTTTGGTTGTACAGATTTGCTAAGTGTGCGCGCGACTTTTAGCGTTTTATGATCTCGGTCATTTAATTCAACTCAAGTATCACCATGTCGGTGGCGTTCGCACCTCACAGACAGCGTGGCAAGGGTGATATCACCCCCGCCGGAATACAGAAGGTAATTTATCATTTTGAATGCGTCGCAGAATGGAGGCTGTGCTATTTGAGACGATGCTAGCCTCTAGTGCTATCGATGTCCATCCGACTCCGACTGGTTAAGGACGGATTGGGTACAATGATGCGAATCCCGTTGCGGTGAATGTGAACCTGCTATATGCGGACACTAAAACGCCTTCACGCTCATTTGGAGTTTTGTTTTCGACCGAGCTTCAGCCTCAGTTTCAGTGTTGTGTTAGTTCCTTTTTAGCAAGCTAGCGAGACGCTTCTTTTGTTAGCACCAAACGCACGTTTTATTAAACGCCCCCTTTTAGTCAAGACAGTCATTTAGAATTGTATGAAAAAAAAAACCCCGCACAGTGGATAACTCTTGCACGTCTGCTCGCTTTTGCAGCTACTTGATGAAAATAACCATTTGATTCAGAGTATTATGGACTTCCAGAGCAAAGGCAAAACAACAGAGTGTTCACAGTGAGTTGTAGTCCTCCATTGTTATCATTGGGCTCTTTTTTTAAATAAATGGACTGTTGGTGATAACCCACTGCACTTTGACAGGTATCAACAAATACTGCACAGAAATTTAGTGTACCTGGCCACAATAGCAGACTCTAATCAGAACATGCAGTCTCTTCTCCCAGCAGTAAGTATCCACACGTTTTGGGATGTTTTTAAGGTGATGATGACCTCACTCCCTTGTTTTCTTTATGTGAATGAATAGCTGTTTGGTTTTATTGTGTGTGTGTGTGTGTGTGTGTGTGTCTAAATCACAGGTGTCAAACTCAGGTCCTCGAGGGCCACTCTCCTGCATGTTTTAGATGTTTCCCTTCTCCAACACACCGGATTCAAATGATCAGGATCATTATATGGCTCCTGCAGAGCTAGTTGTCTGTTGGAGCATGTCCACATCTGTTCCTTGAGTGCCCCTATCCTGCATATTTTTCATGTTTCCTTCCTCCAACACACCTGATTCAAATGAACAGCAATGAACATACAGTAACAATGCCGAAACATGCAAGATAGTGGCCCTCGAGGACCAGACTTTCACACCTTTGATCAAAATGTGATTGATGTCTGTGTGAAGGGTCATTTTTCTACATGTGCCCTTCAATTGGCTGGCAACCAGTGTAGGGTGTATTCCGCTTCTCGCCCAAAAGTCATGTGGGATAAGGTCCAGCTGATCCACGACTCTAATGAAAAATAAATCACAGAACAAATCTTTCTCATTCCAACACAAATTTGGACTATGTCTTCTCCGTAAGAAAGGGACTGACATAAACAAAAGAGCCCCTTTAACTATCATATGGTTAAAAATGCAACAGATCTGATGATAGCCTCAACTTTTTCATGCTACTTTGACAGTGACTCTCCCAAAACTAACCGGTTTCTAGTGATTGTCTTGTCCCAAGTCAGGTGGGATAGGTCCAGCTCGCTTGTGACGTTAATGAAGACAAGTGCTATTGAAATGTGTGTAAACTACAAGCTCAAAAGTGCAGTGTGTTCGCTTTTTTTTTTCCTCGTGATTTGTCAGAGCGTTGCTTTTTTTTTTTCCAATTCATTTGTGTTTTACGTGCATTTGCAGCCACCCACTCAGAACATGACCATGGGCCCTGGTGGGATGAACCAAAGCGGAGGTCCGCCTCAGCCCAGTCACGGTCACAACATGCCCTCCGAGGGTATGGTGGGCTGCGGCCCGCCTGCCCCACACATGCAGAACCAGATGAACGGACAGATGCCTGGTAAGTGGCCTTTCCCTCCATCTTGTGCCGTTTTTTTTCCCCCCTCCCTGTTCCCCTTCAGTTCTTCTCACTTGGGTTGCTTAGCAACAGTGCAGACCTGCGCGGGAGGTTGTGCCACTGAAGGATGATGTCACCTGTTTGTCTTAGACCTTAACTCTTTCTCTTCTCGTGATCTAAATCCTCTCATCCCAAAGTGCCTACTGATGTATTGACATTTCTCTTCTTTTATGTAATGTATTTTTTATGGGCCTTTTTGCTGAGAAAAAAGAAGCCATGAGGCTTATTCACATGAATACGGTGTATATATATCTTATTTTTTTTAAACCTCCTGGCATCCATTTTATTTTGTGTTTTGGTATTTAGCTATGTCTAAACTATTTTAAATCACAAAAAAATGTGTTTAACTCCAGTGCAGTTTGAATGTGAATGTGCCTTGCCGCTTTATTAGGATTACTAATTGTGCATATTGTTTTTGAATTATTATTGCTATATCATTTATATCTTTATTCGCTGCAGAACATGCCCAGTAATCATTGCCCTATAAGTTTAATTGTGTGCAATTTAGGGCTGCATTTAGAGATCATTTTGATAATTGCTTAATCTATTGATTTTTTTTTTTTTTTTTTTTTTTTTTTTGTCGCTTAATTGAAGTAAAAAATATGTAACATGTCAGATTATTTTATTTTGATTGGACACAAAGATAATCAATCAGCTTTCATAGAGGACAACAGACATCGAAAACTATTGCTGAGAAGCTGGAATTCTGAGCATTTGGACAAATTTGAGTTCAATAAGCTCTCTAACCAATCCATTGGTTGATTCACAGAAATATTTATCAATTAATTTGCTCATCGATTAATCTTTGCAAGTGGTTAGCGTGTCTGAATCCACCACCTTGACTGAAAATCCTATGTGTGAAATCAAGTGTATTCTATATAAAGCTCTTCAGGGGCCATCATGAATTATCTGCATTGTAAATGTCGTTTATGCCCAGGGCCCAATCACATGCCCATGCAGGGCCCTGGTCCAGGCCCTAACCAGCCCCCGAACATGCCCGCCGGCTCTATGAACATGCCGCCGAGCAGCCACGGCACGATGGGCGGCTACAACCACGCTGTCCCTTCGTCGCAGGGCATGCCAGCGCAAAGCCAGATGAACATGACGCAGGGCCAGCCCATGGGTAACTACGGGCCGCGACCCAGTATGAACATGCAGCCCAATCAAGGTAAACGCACGCACTTTGATGTTCATCTCCCGCTGCTGTGCTCTTGAGGTTTCTGTCCGATCTGCTTCAGGCCCCATGATGCACCAACAGCCTCCCTCCCAGCAGTACAACATGCCTCCGGGTGGGGGCGGCCAGCACTACCAAGGCCAGCAGAACCCAATGGGTATGATGGGCCAGGTTAACCAGGGCAATCACGTCATGGGGCAGAGGCCGATGCCCCCGTATAGACCGCCTCAGCAAGGTATCCCAGTTAATGCGTGTGTGTGCATCTGTGTGGAAGCTGTAATTGTGGATTTTCCTCTTCCCTTTCCCTAACCCACTTTCCTGCACTTCTTACTCTCATTTCTCCCCATGCACCGCCACACGAGTCGCTCACAAACACCTTCAGGATCCGGGATGCAATACATTTTCAGAGTAGTGGTCCGAAAGCCAAATGCCAACACCTCCCCTCTTCAACCTCACACATCCGGTCCAACAGCACCTTGAATCTACCGTACTTGTGTGTCTGTTGTTTATGTGTATGTAGGACCCCCTCAGCAGTACCCAGGGCAGGAAGACTACTATGGGGACCAGTACAGTCACGCAGGACAGGGAGCCTCAGAAGGTAGGAGAAATCCCTCCAGTCAGACCAGCACTTGTGTTAACACACAAATGATGCAATGAGACTGTGTGATTCAAAACGCCCCCCCTCATAAACACACTCATCCCAGTTTCTTTATTAATTTCTGGGGGGAAAAAAGTGACCTTGGCCCAAGACATGACATCATCGCTTTCCAAATTGTGTACACCATCCCCCAAGGATCAGCAGTCTATTCAATCATCAGATTTTTTTTTCCGCCATACTTGCTTGTGCTTGCGAAGCACAGCCACGCATGGATACTGATCAGCTTTAACCCCTTTACTTTCTTTATTCATTTAACATTTACTTTGTGTGTACCCCTCGGGCCCCCACCTTCCTTCCACTAACAACACTCTTTTTCTCTGATTTTTCATACGTAACACAAAACATTTCCTTTGAAAATAAGGACAGCAATATTTTTCCTCTTACCATGAAGAGTGTTGGCTTACCATTGCTGGACACTTTATTAGGTACACCTGTGCATTCTCCTTGAATTGTCTCCAGAAGTGTATTAATTTAACAGTACAATAAACATATACATATATACAATACTTTCTTTATATTTTCATATTCATCTGTGGTTGATAAGGCGAAGCATGGCAAGCCTGTGTTGCCGAACTGAACGTGTGCAGTCCATAGTTGCAGCCAAGTGCCCTATCTCTTGTCCGTATACATTCTTCGTGTTCCAATATACATTAGCTACCATAGCCTGGGCAATTCGCTTCTTCCTTGACAATCGTGCCATGTTGTTTGTGGTTCCAAAAACAAAGAACAACAACAACAACAAAACGGTATAGTATATGTGGCGCCTCAAAACTCTGTTTCCTGATACTGCATTAATCCCCACTGTAGAGATGTTTTTTTGTGTGTGTGTGTTTGTGTGTGTATGTGTTGCCGATCACTGACGATACCTAAAACTGCTCTGGAATGCTCTGCACTGTTACCAATGTCTTGCATTTGATGGGTGTATTGACCCAGTTGTGTCCTTACTCACACCACTTGAAGGTAATGCCCAGTATGGTCAACAGCAAGAAGCCTATCAGCAAGGCCCCCCACAGCAGCAGGGTTACCCTCCTCAGCAACAGTACCCTAGTCAGCAGGCCTACCCGCCGCAGCAGCAGGGCTATGGTGAGTTTGAATATTTTACATTGAGACCGTGACAACAATAGTCGGTTTTAAACGACTGCAGATTATAATCCCTTTTGTTTTGAGTTTAAACTCTAGTTTCACTTGACATAAATCGTAGTGATACCAGTAACATGGTTATATTTTCTCCCAGAATACACATTGACACCTATCCTCATCTGAAGTTGAGTGAATAAACAGGCCCCGCAGCTATTTTCGAAAACTTGATTTTGTCATCAGTGCGTCTGTAGGCGTGACAGGAATCTGTAAAATCCATTTCAGCATAAGGGTTGACATGGAGTTGTGAAAACATGGTTACATCGACACAGTACATAATAGCTTTGGAGGAGACGTTTCGTGTTAGATTTCATTCATTTTCCGATCCGCTCATCCTCACGAGGGTCACGGGGGGTGCTGGAGCCCATCCCATCTTTGAGCAGTAGGCGGGGGACACCCTGAACCGGTTGCTAGCCAATCGCAGGGCACACGGAGACGAACAACCCTCCGCGCTCACACTCACACCTAGGGACAATTTGGAGTGTTCAATCAGCCTGCCATGCATGTTTTCGGAATGTGGGAGGAAACCGGAGTACCCGGAGAAAACCCACGCAGGCCCGGGGAGAACATGCAAACTCCACACAGGGAGGCCAGAGCTGGAATTGAACCCGGTACCTCTGCACTGTGAGGTCGACGTGCTAAGCACTGGACCACCGGTCCGCCCGTGTGTTACATTTGTTTTCACAAATTAATATGGTTCATGGCTTTGACGTACTTCATTCAAAAAAGATTTAACAGCACATTTAACTTCCAATTGTCACAGTCAAGTAATGACAGCTCTGTCGCTATATTTGGTGACAGTATTGCTTGTCCTCCAACACCACCAGTGATGCTTTTGTTCCCCCCCCCCCCTCCCCAATCTAGGCACTTTTAATGGTATTTTTAAAGATTAGTCCTCCCTGTCCACACTGTCAATGAATGGGGCCTGCAGGAAGCCACCACAGGCTAGTTTAGCACTATCCCCTAAAAAAAACAAGCGCCCCTAAGGCTGTTTCTTACTACAAAAAAAAGTCTGGAAGATCAAGTGGAAGAGTAACTTTAAAATGAGCTCACTTGCAATGAAGTGTAACCACAATTATGTTGCTCTTCATGCGAGTATGGGAGAGAGACTTTATCTCTCTCCCTCATCCCATTTTCCTCCGGAACTTTCCATCCCTCAACCTGAGTGTAGGCCAAAGCTCAAGTTAGTAATGAGCTTGCAGCAAGGAAAAGCTTGTGAGGGGAGATCCATCTGCTACACATGCATTCGCGCGCGCACACACACACACACACACACACACACACACACGTTTCTCCCTTCCAAGCCCTCACTAGGTTATGCTGAGCAGCGTAAGGCATGACAAGCACCTAATGATGCTGCGTGGGCCTCGTTTGACTTGAGACCCAGTAAGGCTTTGCTTAGTTCCACACATCCTGGCTAGTTTCACCAAATAGAATTTTTTTTTCTGTTTGACTCCATTTCCCCCTCCTCATGTTTTAAATTAATTTTTTTTTTTTTTTTTTTTTTTTTACACAATAAAGCCTGCTTCTCTAATGAAGACCAACATCATTTCCTTGAATGTCTAACTCCATAAGGGAACAACTACTGTGTGGCCCCAACCTAAATCGCTCAAGGCAAAACGTAGTCTGAACAAATGAGTCTGATTTTGCATCGTCCTTTGGTTGTCATCCATCATCTTTTCATGGCATCCAGTTAATGGTTGGAAAGATATTCCCTTGAGTGCGACCAACTCTAGTGATTAATTTTATATTTTTTTTATTTTGCCTGACTAAAAATTCACAGTGAAGTAGTTCATGACCCTATTTCCTCTTGTCGTGTTCTCGAAGTTTCACACCACCACTAACCTTGTAGGAAAATCTCGTTTGACCACAAGAGGAAAAAAACTGGAGCTTTTTGGCGAGTCACATCAGCTCCTTGTTTACACATGCAAAAAGATAACATCGAGAAGTCTTGTTTCTTTTCTGAGGATGCTTTGCTAAATCCAGCACAAGGTGTTCTTGAATCTGCGCTAGGCACAACAAAATCTTAAAACTATCCAGTCAGAAACAGTAGTTTGCCACTCAGCCCAGATTCATCATTCCTTCATTCTTCTAACCAAAATTTTCATTTTAGTTCCTTCTCAGAACGCCCCCGGACAGTACCCCAACTACCCCCAGGGGCAGGGACAGCAGTACGGTGGCTATCGCCCCCCTCAGCCCGGACCCCCGCAAGGCCAGCAGCAGCGCCCTTACGGCTACGACCAGGTGAGTATACGCCCGGCACTGTGAAGAACAGCGAGATTCTATACAGTGCCAACTGCACACGTGGCCGTAGTTTGTCACTCATTTTTGACTCAATGGTGTGTATTTTGTGCATGCTCTCATCGTATTTGCGCTTACTTGTGTATGTCGCTATTGCCATTCCTGTTTTAACCTCGGTTGTGTATTCTGGCTAATGTAGCATGCCCCCTTCAGGGAAAAAAAATATGAAGGCTTCTTCCATAGGTTTGCTGCTATAACTGCTGTGGTTCTTCTTGCCCTGTAATATCCTGTGGTCTCGAATGTTGGGGACCAGAGCTACACTTTGACATATTTATCTTTGAATATTCAGGGGCACATGAGGAAATAAAGGCCCGGGGATTTGAACCCCCTGACTAGCTCTATAAGAAGCAAAGGTAAATGGTTGCTGTGAAGACCTCAACGTCCAATCTAGATGTTTTGAACACCTAGCCTCAATTTTGCATTTTATGTTTTCCTTCTGTCTCTTTTCTTTCCTTTATTTTCTTCTCCTCTTTCTTTTGTAAGGTGAAAAGATTGCCATTTGTGTTCCTTTTTAACACTGTTGGTTAGCCAGGGGTCGAATTTATAAGCAATTGAGGTCAGGAAACACAACATGCTTTGCCAAGACTCAAACCAGACATTCTGTTTATGTGTCTTGACTTAATATTTGCAAAAGAAAAAAATGTGTGTCATTCTTTGAAGTCATACTATTAAATTAAACATACTTCGACCCCTGTTTAGAAATACATTAGCTACTACTTCCTTGCCCTGAATCTGTATCACTGAACAGAACCATCCTCGAGTACAGTGTTTCTCAAATTTGTTCACATAAAAAAAAAAACAAACAAAAAAAAAAAACAGGTCAAACAATTTACACTCCTGATATACAAAATCAGTAGCCCTGTTTACTAATCCAGCAGTTTACTGTGGACTAGTTCAAGTTGAAAGGCTGAACAGAAGAACAATTTGACTTCCCGAAAACCATGCATGAAAGCCGGATGTTTTCCGCAATCTCAAGTACAACTAACCATAATGGACTGAATGGAGCGCTCATACATGAACGGGTGTTAGGGCCACACTGTAAAGCAAAGAAACAAAATATGATACTGCAACAATAAAGTTGTGAACTTACTAGGATAAAAGGCATAATTCATTTTTTTTTTTTTTTGTGACTTATTACAAGATAAAATTGTATTTTGTGGGAAAGCAGGAGAATATTATGAGAATCGTCACGATTTTACAATGGGTGATGTGAACAGTTTTTTGTTATACTTTATTATACTGTAAGTTTCAGGGGGAAAAAATGAAATACTCGCATGGGCATCATATTTTTGAAGCCATTGTGTAAACTGCCGACATTCAAGAGAGCTCTCGGATGCATGGATGCGTGCTCTCTGCCGAAATACAAAATTTATTTAAGTTCTGACTTTTTTTTCCTGCCGAGAATACAAATAGCTCTTGTAACATCAACAATTAAAAAAAAAAAAGCATTCTTTTGTTGAACCCCACCTCCTCTTTTTTTTTTTTAATTTAAATAACAGTTTTGGGGGGAAATGCATTATGCCATTTTATTGAGAGAAAAAAAACTCTTAAATATTGTGAAGGATATTTGTACTTTTCCATGAAACTTATTTTTATTTAAGAAAACATTTTACAAAAAAACAACTTGTAACTTTATTTTCAAACAATTTTTTTTCGAATTAAAAAAAATCTTTTAAAATTCCACTGTGAATAAAATTCTCCTTTTAATAGAAAAAAATAAAACCGAAAAAAACAAGCCTTTTTTCCTTCCTCAAAATTTGCCATTGTCATAGGATGAAGACCTTTTCTGTAAAACCATATCAACAAAATACAACTTTTCCAGTGTGTTCCTAAGACTCCTTCCTAATGAAAAGCAATGGCTTTCAGTTACTTGTCCCTTCTGTACTGACACAACGGCACAACAGTCCGATCTGCTTCACATGTTTTCATTTATTCACGGACCCCCTCGTGGTTTCTTGGGGACCACCGGTGGACTGTGGGGCACACTTTGAGAAACACTGCTCAAGCCAATCAAGAGTCCCACTGCAAACCTCCAGTGTATCCAGTAGTGTTTAGAGCTCGCCACTTGTGAGGATCTGCTCCCATCTGCTGGTGGATACAGGCAAACGCAGCCATATGTCATGGTGTGCAGTCTATCATAGAAGCCACAGATGTTTGTTGATAGCTCAGATGTCATTTTGTCTTGTCTTGATGTTTTATTTATATCTAAATCAGTAACTTGAGCCCTGTCACCTTTCTTCCTCCCTCACAGGGCCAGTATGGAAATTACCAGCAATGAGAAACGCCCCCCCTCCCTTCCCCCCACAGATGATATGAGTCACAACAGCACAAACAAATGAAAAAAAAATCCATTCCTCTCCCTGTTTTTGGCTCATAAACACGTCCTCTCAACTTATCCTCCTCTCCCTTGTTTTTGTGGTCCAGTACGTCTCAAAGCGGCAGTGCCTTAAAGATGGAGCTGCCTTATCCTTGAGCATTGCGTCGACTGTACGCCAAAATTTCATTAAATTTTTTTTTTTTATTATTTTTATTTTTCACGGACGATTCAAAAGTAATTCTACTGTGGTTCATGCTTCAGCTCCCTGTTAATAAGAAGAAGCAATAAGGCCAGCAGTAGGTGGAGGCTGTGTGTAAAAAGGTAGAGGGGCATGGCGTAAAGTTTAGATAGCAGCCAAACTTCCTTGTTACACCTGCCCGTACAGGTACACGTGTCTATGTATGAGATAATGTAAAAAATCTATTTTATTCTTTTTTTTTTTTTTTTAGAGGCAGATGACTTTGTATAAGACATTGGAAGCTAGTACTAAGATGTGTAAGTGTCAAGCAGTTTTTTTTTTTGGGGGGGGGGGGGGGGGTTGTTATCCAGCACATTGTTGTTATGACCTGAACCATTCAAACGATTTGCAATTGCTCTCCTTAAATTGTAATTAGGAGAGCAAACTTGCCACAAGAACATGTTTTTATTTGGAAAAGCATCTTTGCTGTACTAAATAAGCTGTGCCAACTCTAGTGGTGAAGGAAAAAAAAGGTTGTTTTTTTTTTGTTTGTTTGTTTTTTTGGCGGGCCACAAGATGTGGTCAAAGGTTTGTCGGGGTATGTAAGCAGACACCGTTTTTTGAACACCAAGGAAGCACAGCAGTTGTGTACAAAAGAAGCGAAAGGCCACACTGAAAAGAAAAAGCGTCAAATTATGAGACATTTCAAGAATACACTTGTAATGTTAGCATGGTCCTGTTGTTACGAGAGGAGTTACAAAGTTGTCAAATTTCATCTTTATGCTCGTAAAATTGATTTCTCATAAAATTACCATAAATCTTATTTAAAAAAAATATTTGAGTTGTTTTTTTTTTTCCATTGTAATGCATGGTTGTCAAACAAATTTTTGTCGGAAGCCACATTGTCGTTGCGATCTGCTTTGCCGCAAAAACGATAAGCTTTTCCATATATGATGCAAAATGATTTGAGGACGGTTCGATTTGAATATGAAATGATTCAATTCGGGTCAATTCAGAGAGATTCTGATTTGTTTGAAACCTCTCCAATAAAATGCAATTTGATACGTATGTCCATATACCTCAAAGTGAAACAATTCTTGTAATATTATAAATTTAGTTGTCCTCAAATGACTTATTTCTCGTAACGTTACAACTTCATTGCGGTCAAAGTTGTCTTTAAGTATTTCGTTCTTCCGAAATGAACGCTTAATCCTCCTTATTTTCATTCCTTTTGTTTGTTTTCAGTGTGGCCCTCATACTCCTTTTGCCTATTGACTGCAATTTGATGAAATCGGAGGTCCTAAAACAGTATTTCTGACAATGTGTTATGGCTAACAATGCTGGAATGTTTTCCTTCATTGGAGTACGTGTCTAGGCTGTTGTGTTTTTAAAAAGTAGTGTCGTATGTGAATATTAACGGCTGTCACATAATGTAATATAAGAAGTGAAACATAATGCTCATGTCACATTTCGGGGCTGCTCGTGCAGTTTCCCGTCACTGGCTTGTTTGGTGATGTGTCCCATGTACAGCAGCGAGAGGGCAACACTGACCTCTCATATTGGTTTTATATATATTAAATATATATATCGATTTATATAAATCGATATATATATATAGTGCTGTTTTTAAATATTTTGCATTCCCATCCACACGGCGCTCCCATTTGTGCCATGGTAATGTAATACTGTACATTCTGACAATAAATTGGAGGAATCTTTAATCTGCTTTTGCACTCTCGTTCTTAAGTTTGACCTCGACAGCCACCGCCCGTCATTTCTCTCGTCCAAACAAGATGGTCACTGCGACTGCCGAGGCCGTTTTGAAGCTTTGTTTTGTTTTCATTCCATCTGCTGTGTAACATCTCTTGTCATGTCATATAAGGTAAGAACTTCGCAACTGTTTTGACATATTGCAGGATTGTGGTCAAATTCACTTTTTCTGCTAATTCGACTTAAGTATTTGAATGATTCTCGCGAAGTTTCCTTCTTTTACAGTGAAGTCCCTTGTCTACTCTAGTCTCGTAATGTTCTGACTTTTCACCCTACATTTTTCCCCGATGTGGTAAAATACTTTTCTCTTTTACTTGAGTCGCATAGTATTACTTTGTACTGTAGTGTTATTGTTTGTTTTTTTTTACTTACCTTGTTATTTAAACATTTAAAAAAAGGTCAAAAACATGCAACTTTTCCCCACATTGCAACTTTATTCTCCTAAAATCACACTTTTTTTCTGTAATGTTACAACATATTCCGAAAGTATTTTCCTAACACCCCCCTGCCCCCCTATAATGTTATCCGTTTATTGTGGTAAAATTGTATAAAATTGTATTTTTTTTCATCTTAAGTTACAGCAGTTTCCTCCATTTTTCTCCTAATGTTCAACTTTATTCTCCTGAAACCACATTTTTTCCTTTTGACTTAACTCAACTGGCTGTCCTCATATTACATCTTTATTCTATTATTTTTCCCTCGTAGTCTTACACCTTCTCCAAAAATTAACCCCCCCATCCAAAATTGCTTCCTTCTTCCATGACTTCATTCGCCTACAATTACTTTATTTTCATGTTATGACATTCTTCCCCAGAAGTTGCCCCCCCAAAAATCTACGATTTCAAAACTACACCCTCCCTATATTCTGACTTTCTTCACCCAAATATCCACTTTTTTCCCCTCATATTATCATATTACTCCCTGAAATGATTTGATCGAGTTATTTTGTCTTCATCTCCTCACCGCTAATGACCTGGCCCTGCTCGGCTGCATGTCTGTTGTGTCCAGATGTAGCCACGGAATTACCTTCCTGCTCCCTCCAGAGAAGGAGAGGGACTACCTGTCAGGCTGGGGGGAGTGTTACAGATGGTACGCCAAATGTGTGTCCGATACCCAATGATTGGATAGGGTTTTTGGGGGGGTTGGGGGGGTCAACTTAAAAAAATATATCTCAATATTTTGGGGCCACATTTACTGCTCAGATTTTCACAGCACCTCACAGTCACCACCACTTCCACCATCATCCTGCTGCTCCACAGCTGGCTGCTCCACCCTGCCCA